GAAACTACAATAGTGTCCCCATGACACGACCTGTCCCGAATCATCCTAGTGGACCCGAAACGTGACGTGCGCTGATGATAAATTCTGACTAGATGCCAAATCTATCTCCAAGGCTAACTAAGGTTTATTTAAAAAAAAATGTAACAAAATCAAATGTTTATAAAAACATAGTGCAATGGGCCCAAAAATTTCTTCGTGGTTTATCAAATTGACTCATATAATTCAACATGTCGTGTGGCTCTCAATTCGAAATCATTAGGCTCTTCTAGCTAAAAAGAATCAATTTCCACCTATAGGAAAATTACGAAAAAATATATGAGTTGATAGCTCAATGATTGAAGAAGTTCGAAAATAATTATACTTTTTTCATTTTTTCATTTTTATCGAAAATCGGGTTCACATCATTGACAACTCGTAAGATAATATCATATAATTATAGCCAAAAGTGAAATATTCACATATGGTCACAAAATATCATCTCAAAATCATGATATAAACATAAGCTAGTAATTATGCTATAATCTCATCACATCAAATGTACTGAAAAATCCACTAAAAATGTACCATCTGATTAAAATCTGTAATCCGCCCCTCGAGCTAAGAACCTTCGCCACGAACCTTTGACCCCTCCGTAAATGAAAGTCGGTATCAAAGAACTCTGGTAATCAATTCTAGAACACGGTCAAGGCCCCTCAGTGAACTATATGTACAGGTGGAGACCCCTTCATCCCCGGTCCAAAACCTCTCAGCGTAGTATAGAACACGACCAAGACTCCTCAGTAAACTAAAAGAAATATATAATTACGGATACTTTTCTAGTCGATCTCAAAATCATATCTCACATTTCAATTCACAATGTAACATATACAATCTTTGAAATCCCACATGTATCATAATAAAAGATATTTCCGTAATAACCATGTAATTCGAACACATAATTGCATATAATTGCACATACTTTAATAATAAACTTAATTTATAAATATTTTAAAAATATTTATATTTTTCCACTCACAGTAGTACTATATTTGCAAAATCAACCCAGTTGGTAAGTTGTCCTGATATTCGTATCACCGCCTGGAATATGATATAGTTTTTAAATCAACAATTAATTATTTTAAATAATTTTAATAATTAAATAGGCGATACTCAAACTTAATCATTTCACGTTTAAGCGATTTCTAAAGTCTCTTTAATCACTAAAACTAGCTTTTCTTTCATCTTACTCAATTCCATAGTTTATTTTACTTAACCCCTTCAATAAAATTGAATTTAATCTAACAATCTAACAATTATAAAATCAAACACAACTTGACAATGAGTAACTTTTTACTTACCTTTCAAAATTGAGGAATTCAAGCCTAATAATATAAACCACTTAATTCCTAACACGTTGGCAAAAAATTTCTATTTTTTTTCCCTTCTTCTTCCTTTTTTTTTTTTCCTTTCTCTTTTCTCCCATCTCTTTCTCTTGTTCTCTTTCTTTCTCCTTGTTCCTGTTTCTCTCTGCATATTGTGGGCATTTGGATTTGTTTGAGTTTTGTATGCATGTGAATTGGATTGTTTATATCAATCCAATTCACCGCCTAACTTTTTTTTTCATATATATATAAAATAGTATGACATTTGACTTTTCAAATTTTTTTTTGTTTTTTTGTTTTTAACTAAATTAAGGTATTAAACCCCCAACTCCTCAATGCCAAAACGACCTATCTCTTGAGAATATCACTAAGGCATGTTCTTCGATCACACCTCATATTTCAAATGATTGTCGAGGTTATGAGCTATCTTTTAGGTATAATTGTGGCAAACCACCAAGCAAATACTCTCTTGAGATCGAAGTGTCTAACTACATGGAGACATTCTAAGCCTCTCAAGAACTTTGTGAATGATTTATCTTTTGACCATACTCTTACAAATATTGATGAGGCTCTAAAAACTCTAGATGGGTTTAAGCTATGAAGGAAGAAATGAAGGCATTGTTAAAAAATAAGACGTGGACTCTTATTCCTCTACCTAGAGGACAGAAAAAATAGGGTGTAAATAGGTATTCTTTATCAAGTATAAATCTGATGGGTTGATTGAGTGCTATAAAGTGAGATTAGTAGTAAAAGGCTATACGTATGGAGTGATTATCAAGAGACATTCCATATGATGGCCAAGTTGAACACTACTAGAGTCCTACTATCACTTGTAGCAAATTTTGATTGGCCGTTATGTCAATTCGACATCAAGAATGCATTATTCCATGGTGACCTTGAGGAGATCTACATGAAGCGACCTCTGATAAAGTTATATATAAATTACAACGAACTTTGAATGGTTTAAAACAGTCCCCTCGACTTGGTTTGGATGGTTTAGTCTATCAATGAGGAAGTATGGCTTTTAACAAAGTAATTCAGACCACACTCTATTCTTGAAACATCAAAGGGGTAAGATAACAAATTTGATTGTATACGTGGACGACATGATCATTACAGGAAATGATTTGAGAGAAATCTTGAAACTTGAAGAGCAATTGGCGGCCAAGTTTGAAATGAAAAACCTAGGAGGATTCAAATATTTTTTGGGAATTGAAGTTGCTAGATCCAAGCAAATTATATTTCTTTCCCAACGAAAACACATCCTAGATTTATTATTAGAAGTAGGATTACTATAATGTAAACCTTCACACACACCAATACTTCAGAACAAAAAAACTTGGAGAATACTCGAACCAAATGCCATTAGACAAGGGAATATATCAAAGGTAGGTGGAAAAACTTATTTATCTCTCACACACTAGGCCTGACATTGCATATGCAGTAAGTGTAGTGAGTCAATTTATCCATTGTCCAAGTGAAGATCACATAAATGTCGTAGTTCAAATACTTAAAAGTCTTTTCCTGGGAAAGGACTTATGTTTTCAAGAAATAATCACCTAAAAATTGAAGGCTACACTGCCTATACTAATGTTGATTGAGTAGGAAATATTTCAAATAGAAAGACCACTTCAAGTTTTTTCACATTTGTTGGATGAAATCTGGTTACGTGAAGAAGCAAGAAAGCAAAAAGTGGTAGCATTATCAAATGCAGAAGCGAAGTTTCGTGGGATGACTAAAGGTCTTTGCAAACTCCTTTGGTTGAGAAGATTGATGACAGAACTTGGATTTTTCCCAAATTGAGAGATGAATCTCTTTTGTGACAACAAAGCTGCTATAGATATTTTATAATCCTGTCCAACATGATCGAACCAAACATGTGGAAGTTTTATCAAGCAGAATCTTGAAGCCAAGATAATCTAGTTTCCATTCGTCAAATCCGAATATCAATTGGCAGATATACTTACCAAAGCTATATGCTATAAAAAACTTCTATAAATCACTAGAAAAGTTGGGCATCACAGATATATATGCACCAACTAGAGGAGGAATATTGGCACGAGTTGTACATTAGGGAAGGTCATGGGAAAAGATCGTGGCTATAATTAAGAGTCAATTTTCTGTTAATAGAAAACATGAGTAATTTGTGTATAACCATATCTAGAGACACTCCCATATATAGAGGATATGATTGTTTGTATATATTCAACCATCCATGCACAGTTTTATGTATGTAAGAAATATAGATTTCATTTTTTCCCCACATCTAGACGCACAAATGGTCAAAAGTTTTGTCACAAGTGGTGTTGACTTTGAGACAATGGTGGTGGTGATCAACAACAGGATAGGGGTGGTTTTGGTTTTGAGGTGAAGGTGTTGAGGAAGAAGAAGATGGAGGGTGGGTGATCATGGTTGTGCTTATATATATATATATATATATATA